GCCTCTTCAGAGCCAATCAAGCTCCCAAAGTCAAACAAGATGTCCTTTGACCTGCCTGCAACAAAAAAATGTGAATCTGATCTGCATGGAACTTGAACAAAGATAATGCAAGTATAGCTGCTGGGTTATGTGGCCCTGCATCACATTTGGCAAGAGGGATGGCAAATGCTGGCTGAATTTATTGCACATAACTGAATACAGGGTTCACAATCAATCCCTCCATCCATCAGTCAATCAGGCAGCTGGCATGTAGTCAAAAGATGCTGTTGCCAGGTTTGTGAGATGCAAAACGATATGTGTGGAGATCAATTCGTTTCGTAGAACCTGGACATGGCAGGAAAACATTGGACACTGCAGTGAAGGCAGCTGACCACATGCCAGGAATCGTACATTGGGCATGTCCGCCCACAAGCTGTGTGAGCACCATGCTTGACTTCAACAAATCGATAGTCAGGACTTCAAGTCTTTTCAGCAACACGGGCGTTCCTTTGCTGCTGCAGCAATCCTTTCTGCAGTTCCACAAGGCAGTGGATGTGTCGGTGGTGGGTTTGCCAATTCTACAAATTGGTCAGACAGTAGCATGGGCAATGCACCTGGTTTGTGGCATCAAAGGATAGTCATTTGCATCGGTGCATGAAACTAATGCCATAGATTCGTTAGAACTCAGCAGCCAGCAAAGACAAAAAGCCAATCGATACGCCAGTCACCAGCACCAGTGGACAACAGCCTCTCCAATCAGGGAGAGGGGGGTGAGGGAGGGACACTCAAAGCTGCGGACAATGTTGGAGCTGCACCAGCACAGGACTGCCTTCAAACATTTTGGCACTGACACTCCTTGGAATCCTACACACTTAGGAAACATGCACCCTCTTCCAAAGTATGGTAAACAGCCCCCCATAACTCCTCCTCAGAAGCAGGGAGCCCACTGTATGACCTGTCTTTCTTTACATTTTTACACTTGTACATTAACAGGTTGGAGGGCTTCATTTCTTCAGTTGTTCCCCTTTCCCTTCTGTTATCCTATGTCTGAGGCAAGAAATCTTACCTGTTCTTCTATCTTTCATGACCTCCAGGCCATGAAAACTAACTGTCAATAACAGCAACCCACCTTTGCAAACCACTGCTGCATTTCGTAAGCAATAATAGAACACAAACTCACCAACAGAAGACACGAGGACAATGTGTCTGACGCCCAGCTCAGCCGCTACTCTGGGCACATCCCCAACGGCACCCACACACACGACTGATGTGATTCCACGCATCGCAGACCTCAGAAGCACTGTGTCCCCGACAGTCGACTCCACAGGCTCAGCATACTGCCCATAAGCAGATTGGACCTTCCTGGCATCTGTGCAGAGCACCTTCACTTTCTGCCTATTTCCCCAATGCAATCAATGCAATGCATGGTGAGAAAAAGAAGATTTGGACCCCTTCAACAGTAGCAAACTCCCAAGAACTGACACGTAGTGGACATGGAAGTCCAAAGCAAGAAAAAACGACATCTCACTAGAAATAATCATGGGTGGGGCTAATGTTCATGGCATAGATGCCACAATATACGAAATCAGTGGATTAATAGGCAGCTCCAGCAAAGAGCATGCAGCACAGAACAAATTGGATACTCAGAGATGGTCATTCCTTGGCACTGCACTGCATTCCTCTGCAACAGAATCTGCCTGCAAGTTGGGCGTTGTGATGCGTACAGAACCTATTTGCTCCAGCTTTCTGTCACTGCTTCATTCTCCATTGCTGACAATATGGTTGCAGGCGATGTTTGGGCTGTGTAGTTGTTGTACATACCGTTAGCGCACACAGCGAATTGAGATGTGCCTTGAATGCAGAAGGGCAGTTGTCTGGCATATGTGGCACCAGAGTGCATAGCACAGAATTTCATGAGCATGGAATATTGATTTGCACAGGAACAACAGCATATTAGGACACGTTCTGGCATCTGCTTTCTAGCTGTGGTGAAAAATCCAGCGAAAATACAAATAGTTGCAGAGGGCCATCTCCTGTCACCTTGCCAAAATCAGTTGCAATAGCACCTGATCACCAGTCAGGCTCATGGCATCGGTGACCAAGATCTCTTGTGCATCAGGAGGCGCCCTGCTCTCCTGCTGTTGCTCCTCGGCGACATCCTGCAAAGGATTGCAAGCACCACATGTGTGAGTACTATCCTTGGCATCGATGGTTCAGTCTCATGAGGGACCCTTCCTGAAGGGGCAGGAAGACACAAACTCCTTCCACAAACTTCGCTCAATTGCCACAAATTTGTTGCCAACGGGAACCATCGGCAACCACCAGCAGCTGCAGCAACCCAAAGCCAGCTTCACCCACCTCTGCCCACTCCCCCTCGTCCGCCAACCCTTCCTCTTCCGTTTGCTCCGCCTGGCCATACCACTTCCGCATCTTAGGGCCAGCTGCGGCGAAAGAACACAATCCAAATCAAACGCATGCAGCGGCCCAGGGACCACGCAGATTGGCTTGGATGCGCGCCGCTTCACCCGCAAGAACCGAAGGCGCCTTCTACGATCGAATTGACCAGTCACCGGCGAGTGTTGCACGAACGTCCAGGACCGTCCAGGCTCTACCAACCGTAAAGAACTCGATGCACGCCTTTGATGCACCTAACCATGAAGCAATTGTGGCAGCCGGCCAGATCGGCGGCCAATGCCTGCGGAATGGCGCCTTGGCCCAGGCTCAGCGTCGTCGGGGCTCACGCGATCTGCACCCACACTCGGTTGGGCCCCGTCGAAGCACCCTAAACGCGATTAAACAGATGCGGCCTGCCGGATCGACAGCCAATTCCCGCGGAATGGCGCCAAGGCCCGCGTTTGGCGCCGTCCGGCGTCCGCCCGATCTGCACCCAACCCATCCCCACACGAACTGACAACCTCCTGGGCAGTGAGGCCGCCGAATTGGTCTGTACGCGTATCGAACAACCCTTCCCAAACGGCCCCGGTCGTCCGGGCCCCAGGCGGCGACGAGACGAGCCCCACGGCGCCCGCCCCCGGACCTGTCATGAAGTCCGTCAGGCCGTCTCCGAATCCGCCCCCGCGCCTTGCTCCTCTCGGCCGGATCCCCCGCCGCTCTTGACGTCCCTTGGGCCCCGCTTGCTGCGACTTGCCCCGCGGGCCAAGGCACTGGCGGGGCCCAAATCCAGACGCCCTCTCCCCCGGCATGGCCGCGACAGGCAAGCGCGTCGAGTGTTGTGTCGTGTGTCGCGTGTCGCGTGTCAAACAGCCATGTCAGTGTGGCAACAAGCTCTCACTTCGCACAAACATGCACCTGCATATGGCGCGATCACCCAGGGCCCAATCCCCCAGCGCCAACGCCTGATCGCATGGTCAAAGGCCCGGCACCGCATTTCCAAAAAGTCGGGCGGGTCAAAGATACAAAATGCGCGGGCCACCCGCCAGCGCGACAGCATTCTCGCGCTGTACAGTGGGGCGGCTGCCCGCGCAAACGTCAGGTCTTTTCGCGCGCCCGCGCACGGGCCACCGCCACGGTCGTCCGGAACGCCCGCCGGGCTGCTCAGGTGCGCGGAGCACGGGGGAGGGGGGGGGATGGATGACTGGCCGGTCGATTGGGGTTTGACCCCCCGGTGTGGCCTTCCTGTGGCTGTCTCGAGCGCGCGGTGTGGTGATGATGTCCGTGGGGGTAGTCTTCGACACGATTGGTCGCTCGGGAAGCCGTGATGGGTCCCTGGCCAGGGTCGGGGCGACCTGGCGGCGCGGCGGCCCTACGCAGCGCAAGGGGCGCTGGGCGCATCGCATTGTGACGGAAGAAGGGGGGCGTTTTGGGGCGGCGGTGGGGTTTGGCGGCGCGCAGCCGCGGGCTTGTGATGGCGGAAACCGCTGCGCTGTGCGCCGCTGCGTCCTGTGGCTGCGTCCTGTACCGGAGTTGCGGGCGCGGGGTGCTTCGAGCCGATGCCTGGGAGCTCAGGGTCGCTGAACACCTGTCTTTGTCCGGGAGATCGACGGTCGCTGTCGCGAGCGGTTGCCACCGCCGGCCTCCCGGTCTGCGGTGGGGCTGAGCTTGCCGGCCGCGAGCACGAATCGGCGCCCGCCGCGCGTTGCCAGCAGCGGGGCGGTGCGGGCTGCGATCCAGCGGGATCTTCTTGATTGGTCGTTGACGATGGGGTTTTGCGTGTTCGGCGGGGCGCCGGTGACGGAGGGGGTCAGGCGCGGCGCCTGGCGATTCCGCTGCACGGCGGCCCTTTCGCGCCGTGAGTTCCTGATGGGCCCCTGGTGAAAGGTCCTCCTGAATGTTATTTTTATTTTGGCACGAGCGTGCGCTGTTCGGAAGGGGCGGCGCGCGTGTTCATGGCGAGTTGATGGCAAGTCTTGTTGTCCAGGTTGCGCGCTGTAGAAGAGTGTCGGTTGGGAGCGATTGAGGTGGGCTCTGGCGCGAGGCACCGCCCAACTCCGTCGCTCACTCAGTGCGGACGCTTGCCGCGCGCCGATCGCCTGTCCAGGCGCAGATGCATGGCAGCTGTCGCGCAGTTGGACCTGTGCTTGGGTGCGGCTTCATGCCCGTCATCCCCTGCGATGTGCGCGCAAGGGCTGTGTTCTGCTGTGTGTCGGCAAACGCTGTTGATGGATTTGACCACTCTAGACGAAGGACCGCCATTCCACGTTGCCCTTGCCTGCCCCACAGGTCGCAGCGTCTGTCGTGCCACCTGTGCACCCACCCCCTCCATTCGCAGGCTCCTGCGCCGTCATGCTCGTTTCCCTGGTCCATTGATGGCGGCTGTGACGAGCTGTCTTGTGTTATGTGCTTTCCCGTCGCCTCAATTCCATTGAATGAAGCTGTAAATGAGACAACTCGCTGTTGCACCTGGAGACTTCCGCCATTGTCTTCGACAGCGTAGAAAGGGTCTGGCGAGCATTGTCTGTCCACTCTGGGGTGTCTATTGTGGAACAAGACTTCCTTGCTGAAAAGGAGAGTTTCGCTTCTCATGGTCCTGACACTGCTGACTGTGCCCCGGCAGGCCAACAATGGTGAAGGAGAGTCCCGCCAGGCGGGTGAACATCCAGGGCCAGCGTCTGCTGATCCCGGGTAGCGTGTTCCATGACCAGACACCAGGCGTCGGGTTCTATGCCACTGTGCAGAGGCCATGTGCAGGCAGCAAGAAGGGCAACATGTGGGTCAAGCTAGACGACGACCCCGCAAAATACTGGTTCAAGAATGCGGATGTAGGTGCCATCCCGCTGGCCTGTTTGTGTCCCCAATGTCCCCTGCGACAGCCTGGGTCCTACACACAGCCATGGCTTTGTCGTTGCAGTTCCAAGTTCCTGACGCAGCTTCAGTGCTATGGTAAATAGTCCTGCAAAGTCTGTTGCTGGGAGGGGAGCGCTGGACAAGTTTGTCCTCCACGTCCAGAAAACAATCTCCACTTGACCCGTTTCCTACATTTCCGACCGATTGAAGCATTGATTGTTAGCCTTTGGCCCCAGCTCTCCCCTGGCGTGCGCCTTCCCTGACCTGTCCTTGTGTTCCCCGCTGTTTTGCAAGGTGATCGATTGGATGGTAGACAGGGAAGCTGCAGAGGTGCTTCGACCAAAGTACGGCCAAAGGAAGGGCCGGTCCACAGCCTCCGGGCTGACCTCCTCAGACAGGCCAACACCCTCCAGTGCCCAGCACCTCACCACCCCTGAGAGCGCCAGCCCAATATCCTTTGCCAAGGACACCCCGTACCCCTCGGATTTCACAGGCGCCACAACATCCACCTCAGGCGGCGAGGCCATCACTGAGCCCGGAGAGCAGGCTGCCAGAATGCCGCTGAGCACGCGTCTTGCCCAGTTTGGGGGCCAGGCCATCGGCCTGGCGTGGCAGACGGCCAGGACCTTGAGCCTTAGCCCATGGAGGGCGGCTGGCAGCAAAGACTTGGACGAGAACGAGAACATCGACGAAGCTGCCAACCAGTACGAGGTGGACGATGGGTACAAGGCGGGAAAGGTGGTGGAGGCAATGCAGAGCGCGGTGGTGCACAAGGTGCACACCAGCAGCATCGTGACCATGCAGGAGACGCACAGGACTTCGGTGACGAAGGCGCAGTCGACATACCAGGAAGAGATCCAGGAGGTTCAGGACGGGGTTGAGGAAGAGGAGGCAGCAGAGGAAGAAGAGTTCGATGCACTCGCCAGGAAGTCCCCCAGTGTGTGGTCTTGGACGGGATGGATGCCATCTGGCAGCAAGTGGACAGGGCTGAGCTTTGGGAGGCGGACAGCCAGCCCCATTACAGCTGTGCAGGAAGAGGCGGATGAAGAGGAGCAAGAGGAAGGAGACGATGAGGCAGCAGAGGAGGCGGCGGAGGAGAAGGAGTTCGATGCCCTGGCAAAGAAATCTCCCAGCGTGTGGTCCTGGAAGGGTTGGATGTCATCAGGCAAGAAATGGACGGGATTTTCTTTGGGTAGGCGGGCTGCCGATCCCATTGAAGCGGTGGAAGAAGAGGCAGAAGAGGGGAACGAGGCAGCGGAAGATGAGGTGGTGCCCGCAGAGGAGGCAGCAGAGGACGAGGGAGAGCTCGATGCTTCAGATAGGAAGACGCCCAGCAAGTGGTCATGGATGGGTTGGATGTCGTCAGGCAAGAAGTGGACTGGTCTGTCAATGGGCAGCCGGGCTGCAGCTCCCATTGCATCTGTGGAAGAAGAGGGTGAAGAGGAGCGCAAGGAAGGGGAGGCACCTGCCCAGGAGGTGGAGCGGGAGGCGACACCCCCATCGCAGCGCTACCGTCGCCACAGGAAATCAGAGACACCTGCAGCAACGCACTTTGCAAGCCCCATTAGTGTGTCTTCTGGAGAGGCAGGTGGCCTCTGGCTCACGAGCCGAAGGACGTCTGTGCTGCACTACCATCGCCTGCTGAACACCCCCAAGCTGAAGGTGTGGAGGGCACTGGCTCCATGACTATTCACACGCTCACGTACTATGTATGGCACTCGCCTGAGTTGAAGCATGTTGCACTCCACTGCTTCACGGCTCTGGGCACTGTGCTGAGGCCCAGAATTTCTTCGTGCCAGTGCATCTGGGGTGTGTACTTGCATTAGCATCCGTGAAACCACATTGTGTGTTTGTAAACGTTGACTGATCTTCGTGTGTCTCTCTGCCTTGACTGACCTTCATGTGTCTCTGCCCTTGACTGACATTCATGTGTCTCTGCCCTGTTGCTGTGCTGCAGTACCTGAGTGACCCATCTGAAGAGGAGCTACAGATGCCAGTTGTGCCCATGGTCCGGTCAGCCCCGATGGATGGTCATGGTTGGCACCACTTTGTGACAGAGGCTTCATGGGTGATCATCTTCAACATTGCAGCAGGTGGTTTCGTTGTCTTTGTCTGGGCACTTCTTGCTTACTATGGATTCCTAGACCATCTGCTGAACAGGGTTGAAGCTTGAGTGGTGTTACATGGAGAAAACAGGTATACATTGCATCAAGAAACTGCCAGCCCGTTTAGTTAGGGCAAAGGTCGCCAGCCGGTGCAAAGAGATCGTGGCTGGGGTGGAGGAGCTAGATTTTAGTAGGATTGAGTTGTAGGGGTAAGGATAAGATGTTGTGGCCAAGGCCCTGTAGGGCTACTGTGGAAGGTGCGTGTGTAGTTGCTGCAGGGTGCGGCCAGCAGGTGGTGGATTGAAGGTTGACAGTTGATATTGATACTTGACTGCAGAGATGGACACATCCAGGTGTTGGTTTGCATGTTGCTTGCTGTGTGCCTCACCTTGACGGTGCATACTCATCTTTGCCTATGGCCGCACAGGTTGGGTGTGGTGTACGTTCCTTTTTGCGCTCAACTATATCAACTGTAGCTGTGGAACTGTTTCGACCCTGCTCACTGAAATCCCAAGCAAGTTGTTTTCACAACTGCAGTTTGAGACCACGTTGGAAAGTGTGGGGCCGGACATGCGGTGGAGCGGATGACAGCTTGATGTAGGCAGCGAGCTCATGCTGCCACGATCCCTGTGCAGACCCAAGTCATCTAGCGAGGGAGCTTCACATGTTTCTGTCACATTCCAGCACTTCCCATCATATTCTGTCACTCTTTCCTATGAGACATGCTGTTGCTGATGAATACAGTGTCTGCAAGATTGCTTATTGGGATTTCTCGATATTCTAGGAATAGTCACGGCACTGATGCCATTTGCGGCTGAAGTCGCGATCAGGACGATGCAGGCCGGTTGATGTGCTCAGCACATGGCATCTCCCCGATCGACAATAGTGTATGTGGCACTGCAGTTGCCGATTGCAAGGCAGTGGTAGGCCTGTCGTTTGTGATGGTCTACCGATTGCTTGATTGTAGTATAGGACCATGGACTCGTCTTCTCATTCACTTGTCTTCCATTTTTCGCCTGTTTACGGGTTTGATGGAATTATTCTTTGATGCTTTGTTGACAAGCTGACCAGCTTTCGTCGAGTTGTTCTGTTTGGAGCAGTGCCCCAGACGACGATGGTCTGCCACTACAGCTGGCAAAGACATCATGTCAATACACGTGAAGGATGCTGCCAGTTCTGTACCGCATAAACCCAGAATGAAGTTGATAAAAGTGCTTGTGACGTCAAGTCTTATGCCACCGTGAGGAATGTGTGCTTGATGACAAATCTTCTAGCAGCCAGCTGGTCAAGTCTAAGCCAACCCCGTGCTGCTGGAGCTGTGCTCCATGCTGAATGCAGCCTTTAGCACTCAGCCTGGCATTAAGCGCGCATGATGGCGGTGAACGAACGGCAGTGATGCACATGGAAGACAGAACTGGACTTGAACCCTTCAGACCCCTTAAATGAGGTTCCATGGGCAGATAACGCTCGAAATGTTTTGCGTTTGAGTGCACCGACGTTGTGGCAATCCATGCGCTCGAACACACAGACAATGATGTGCTGTTCATTCCTTGGATTCTTCCTTGGCAACTTGGGGGGGCAACGCGGGCTCCCTGCGCAAGCGCACAGGAAGACAGAAAAGAAGTGGGCCCAAGACTGGTTATCCAGAGGAATGCTTGTTTCAGTTAACAAACTGCAGCAGGGTGAGCCTCCACATCGAGCTGCAAGTTCTCCAGCAAAAGAACTGAGCTCAGGCCTGATCGCTTCCGTCGAAGCCTAGGTGGACTGCACCTTGCAGAGCGGATTTGCGTTAGAATCTTTGATGACGCAATAGAACACCCATTCTGGATGATCAGACAATACGTTGATGATCCTGCTGGGGCGCCCCGTCAAATGCCCGTGCTCCGCACTTTTGGAGCTCCAGAAATTGAGGACAGCCGATCTTCAGCCCCCTGTTATGCATTCAAGGGGCTCCCACAGCAGTCCTTCGGATATATTTACGACGCGAATTGATCAGAAGAACACCCAAATAGACTTTTGGACTCCCACTGCCACTCGGGAGTATCGGGCTATTAAAGAAAACGCACCATCATGCGTAGCATGATGGGCATGTCCTCTTCGAAGTAAGCCAGAGAAGCTGCAAAATCTAGGCGATTGGAGGGGTCGCCATCCCACGCGCCGGCGCTCATATGGCCAGGCGACACAGAGTCCAAGGCGTGGTTCACAGCACAGGTTGCTGCGCCCCCAACAGGCTGGGGTGCGCTTTAAATGATCAGCCACGTTCATGCCAATTTCCATTACCTGATACAATGTCCCATTTTGGACCTCTAAGGATTGTCATAATCACAAATGCCCATAAGACAATTCAACCCCCATGCCACCTCATCACTACGATGCAGCCCACATCTGAAACATGCCACAGCTCCCCTTTCACTCAGAATTCAAAACAATATAATTCTGACTACTCAGGTGCCGCATATGGTCATTTCCAAACGCCACCACTGCAAAGTGCAAGTACAACAAATCTTGCAAGCCAAAGTGAAAGTAGAGGGCGGTCACAATGCTGTAAAACTTCGGGAAACACACATCCGAAACTTCCCCACAACACACCCTTGCATCTTGCGGACAGGACACTATGACCAAGGCATCTCTATGTGAATTGCAGGACATTCTTTCATCAAGCTCATGTTGTCCGCAACAAACATGAGTGTGATCAGAAACTACCTCAAAAGCCAAATTCCAAACCAGGATTCAATCACAGAAATGGCTTTCAGATAACATGTTTAAAAATTGCCAATCTTCAAGCAAAGGAGTATGCATAGGCTAGCAACACAATGCCACACCAGGGAATGCAACATCCTGTGTGTGCCCACCAAGGAAAACGACATCTTGGTGGGAGTGACCTTTGCAAGTTCCATAACAATATTTTCTGCAACACCATTTTTTTTCTTTCAATCTCAAGCAGCGAATCACGCTTTGACATGCCCACTGGTCGCAAGCCATCAAGCAGAAGTGACCCACCCAGCGAAACGGTGATCATTATGCGGCGTCGCGCGAACAGGGCACAGAACTTCGCCGCATTCGCCACACCTGCGCCTGCTGTATGAGGATCTCCAAGGCGCGGCCTGCCCAAGGTTGCCCGCAGGCAATGGCGGCCGCCCCTCCCCGCCCACGTGCTCCGCGCGTCCGCCGTGTCACCGTGTCAGACCGTATCCAGCGGGGTGAAATATCTTGCGAGTGTGGGGCGGGCTGCGGCCCACCGCTGGAAGGAAGGGAAGGACCCGCACGGCCGGCGCGGGCTGCCGGGCGTTCGTTGTGAGCGCGGTGCCGCGGGTGGATCGAGGCAGAGGCTGAGAGCGCCGCTGGCGGTGAGTGAATGGGCGCCAGTGCTGGCGGCGCGATGGCGGGGTGACTTGGAGGCGCCCTGTGGCGGCTGTTGGGAGATCTTGGCCGTGTTGGGGCACGCTCGCGCCGGAAAATTGCGCCGGAATTGCTTGTTTGCGATTCGCTTTGGATGGGGGCTGCGCAGGGGCGATGGAGCACGGGGAGCTTTGTTGTGGGGGGCGGGCTGGCCGCCTCGACGCGCGGGGAACCTCACTGTGGTTTTCGATTTGAGGGCCGCGAGGCCGCGGCCGACCGCCCATGTTGCCACGCGCAACAGCCGCTGGAGAGCTTCGAACGTTGGCTCGCATGAGCCCAAGCGCCGATTCCGGCCTAGTTGGTCGCACCCAGCTTTGGGTTGCGCCTGTGGCACTTGGGATCTCTTTATCGCGTGTGCTGCACGTCGCAGCGCAACATGCCAACTCTGTGCCGTGTGCAAGTCGCTCTCCCGACTCGACTCGCGCCAGGCCCTGCGGACGCGATTTGTAAGTGAACCGCGAAGCAGCGCACTTTACGTCATGCCTCTGGCTGTCCGGCGTGCCCATTTTAGGGAGGCTCGGCCCCTCGACTGGAGGCCGCGCTGTGTCGCCGTTTGCGCCAAATTACTTGTTACATACTTCATCACTCCGTAGCTTTGGCGCATGTCTTGTCGAGCGTAGCCCGCTCGCCCAGCCCCCGGTGTACTAATCAATCAACACAAACGTGTACGATGCGCGATGTGCGGGGCAAGCACCCCTGGTCTCCAAGCACACAAGCCAGGCGTCCAACGCGGTTGCTGGACAGCCGTCACCTGCCATGTCTTGGTGGGTGTGGTGGAGTGGGGGGCGAGGAGATTGGCCATTGGGGCCACAATGTACTGCGACCAGCCAGGCCTGTTTGCTCAGGGTGCTTTGTGTGTGCGTGGCGTCACAGGGCGTTGCGGATCTCGTGATGATAATTCAATCAAGGTGCGCACTTCACTCCGCGCTCATGTGCGCAGCATTGTCGATGGCCAGGTTTCCTTGTGTGTTTTCCGGGGCTCGATTGAACAAGACTGGAGGTTGTGCGATGCTTGCAAAGGGCAAACAATGGGTGTACTGCGCCCTTTGCTGTATTGCAGCAATGCAGGGCTATAAAGCATATCCGTAACTGATTTGTTGTGGTTTGAGTGTACCAGGCATTCCACTAGACGCATCCTATGTGTCCATTTTAAGACCTCAATGGCAACACAAAGTCAGGGCATCCCGCAGTTGGCCCCATATGGATGGCAGTACAAAATTGCAACCCTGTCAAGGACATCGCCTCATGAGGGTGCCCATTGCACAGCAAGTCTTATTCCATAAAGCAGGTCAGGAGTGGCTGTTGGTTCTACCCACTGGGAACTGAACTGCATCCTGGCATCAAATTGGCAGGAAATCCTTTGATTGTGCTCTCACCCAGTGGATAAATCAGACTCAGAAACCCACAAGGCGACTTCTTTTGTTGTCTCACAGCAGCAATACAGTTGAGAATCAGAGTCCAAGTGGGTTGGCTTGGAGCAACAAACCAGGCAAGTGACCCATCTGTACTGCTTGTGCTTTCAGGCACCCAGAGGCACTATGCCGACAACGACATGGCTTCACACCTGGGTTGTGCCACCTTTGCCCAAGAAAGGCATCTTTAGCTCGAGTGGCTTTGAAGGTACCAAGGGTGGCCCAGCCACGCTTCAGCACCCCACCAGCTTGGAGGACACTGGTTGAAGACCAAGAGTGTGAACAGAGCCATAGGGCTGTAGGCAGTGACAAAGACACAGTACGGAGTAGTTGGGCAGACTCAGGGGAGGACTACATCGAAGATGTTTGCAGAACCCCATTTTCCGTCAGTGATGACAGGGTGAATACATCCAGAATGTCCAGTGAAGCAGAGGGTTTGGATGGGTTGATGGTTCAGGATGGGGGCATTTTGGGGAAGGTCGCTGAGGCCTTTGGGCTGTCACCACGGATACAGGGACTCCTGCTCCTGAATGTTATGACTGTGATAATGGCCACGAACTGGGTGGTTGTGAAGGAAACTGAGGAGATCATGGACCCCTTCACTTTCTCCGCCCTGCGGTTTTCCATAGCAGCCATGGCCTTGTTTCCTTTCATCAAGAGCGCTGTGCAGAAAGACGAGATTTTCAAGGCAGGGCTTGAGATCGGACTCTGGACTGCTTTGGGATACATACTGCAGGCAGTGGGATTGATTAGCACTGACGCCTCAAGGGCATCATTTTTGAGCACATTCACTGTGATCTTGGTGCCCATCTTTGCGGGTGTAACAGGCAAAGGAATCTCCAAGCTGACATGGGCTGCTGGGGCAGCCGCAGTGGCTGGGACATTCTTGCTGGAAAATGGGGGGGCAAAGGCATCGATTGGTGATGTCTACAACCTCATGAGTGCCGGATTTTTCGCCCTACAGGTGAGTACACGTGGGAATGATGCAACTCACTGCTTGCTCCAACTGGAAAATGTCCTTCATTAGATTGCACAGTCCTCAGTTCTTTGCCGATGTGAATTTGATTGTTACAGTGTTGCTCCTGCAAAGAACAGAGCTCAAACATGCCTGCAGGCCTGCCTTAGTGTGCCCTGGTTCCTGTGACGCAGATCTTCCGAACCGAACATTACTGTCGTCTGCTGCCGCGCTCCGCGATGATGCCTGTGCTAGCTACATCCGTCGCAACAACGGCGGTGGTGGGCAGCGTGTTGGCGGCAGGGACGCACCCCACAGAGGTCGCCTCCGCATTGCACTCCCTGCTCTTGCCGACATCTTGGATGTCCACTTTCCACATCCCAATGAAGGAGCTGCTGTACACGGGTCTACTTTCAACGGACCTTGTGCTGCTCATCGAGATGGTGGCCCTGCACGATGTGCCCAGCACAGATGCCGCCATCATCTACACCATGGAACCTGTGCTGGGGGCGTTGCTTGCTTATTTCATGCTGGGTGAACGCTGGGGCCCAATGGGCTGGGCGGGCGCTGGATTGATTCTGGCCTCCAGCTTAGCCACTCAGCTTCTCGGCGGGGAGCCAGATGGCAGCGAAGACGCCCCCGAGCAAGCCTGAGTGCGCTTCGCTGCACTAACGACTGAGGCATTTAGGTAGCATAGATCCAGGATGGGATCGCCTTCCCTCAGGGTGATGACTGCTTTTCGTCAGCTTTGCTGTGACTAACGATTGCGTCTATGATTATTGATTCTTTAGTATTTGGCGTCTGATGTGCTGCACAGATTGCGGGCGAGACATGCGGACTCAACGGTGTACGTAGGTCGGACTCTGGCGAAATTGTGCATAAGGAAACAAACGAGTGGAACTATTGCACCTGGTTGGACGACACCCGATAGTGCAACTGACAAGGAATGGTGTGAGTGTGTTTTTCTTCATATTTTGTGCAAGGCTTGTCCCAGCTTTCTGGTTTGCGGCCGCTGGGGAGAATGGAAACTTTCCCACGATTTTTGTCGACGTCTTTCACCGATGGATGCAAATCAGGACGGGTATCAAACCCAGGGTGGGTTTGAATGCTTCTTTAAAAATTCAACATTCATGCGGATTGTGAACACGCTCGGACTTCCAATGCTTTGGACTCGTGGCATCCCATGGCCCCGTGGCGTAGATGTCATCGCCGTTGTGGGCCACTGCGACTGAGAAGCGCCCCTCCCGGGGCATCTCTTGTTCAATATGCGAGCCTCCAACCCTGGTCCCGGTCCCCGTGGCCCTCTCCCTTGGCTATGAGAACAGCGCCGTCACGCACACCACAACCAACAGCGCCCCCGATTTGTCCACGTACCCCTGGATGCAGGAGGCCAGCAGGAACCTGGGCCAGCCCCACCCCTGCGCCGGAAACCTCCTCTTCTCAGATGAATGGCAGATGTCCCCGCAGGATATCTGCTGCAGCACGTCCAGCTGGTCCCGCGAGTCCGTGTAGCGCGGGGTCTCCGTGTTGCTCAGGGATGCCCGGTCGCGCTTGAGGAACAGCCCGTAGTAGTCCTTGCCCTCGAACTTCCGCCGGTCGCAGTGCACCCACCAGGAGGAGCCCGCGTAGAAGAAGGTCTTGGAGCACTTGGCCTGCCCCTCCTTCAGGTCCATCACCCTCTTGATCTTGGCGCTGAAGCGGAAGGGCGGCGGCATCTCTCGGCAGGTCGGCCCTGGGCGCAGCGCCCGCTCCGACGGCACCGGTGCCACGCGCTTGACGAGGAGTCGCACCAGGTGCCTCTGCCACATGCCCCTCTCGAAGGCAGCCTCCACATCCGGCATGTCCAGAGCCCGGATTTCGGACCGCATGTCCAGCAGCTGGTCGTCGGGTATGTGGGCGTAGTGGACGCTGTACGTGCAGATGTCCTCCAGCATCGCCTCTGCTTCGCAGGGGTGGAAGACGGGGTGGGAGACGATGGACGGCGGGGCCGCGCCCTCCGAATCTTCGACGACGTCCAGACAGGCCGACTCGGCCACGTCGAATGGGCTCGCCTGGTGTTCCACATCCGCCTGCAGGTGGCCCTCCTCGGCGGGCACCTCTTGCCCAAAGTGCCCATTGGATTGCGAAATGGGGCGGCCGAAGCAGTCATCTTCGCTCTCGCCCACACAATTGCTTGTCTCCTCATGGTGTTGTCCCGCAGCCCGGACAGACAGCCCTGCCTGTCCAGGCTCGCGGCCGTCTGTCACAGCGTTGGTGGCCCCCCCTCTGGTGCCAGCCTGGCAGCGCTCCTCGTCCCCGGCAGGCCTCTCCCTCTGAGCGCCCATTTTCTTTCGAAGCACCTCGCACGCCAACAGAAACCTGTCGTACTCCGACGGGACCCACAGCTTGTCCGAGGAAAGGACCCTCTTCAGCATGGACAGGGGCAGCTTGGGCAGCTCGGGCCTCAGGATGGAAAAGCCGAACATCCGCACGTAGCTCTCGCACTTCTCGACCAGCTCGCCGTTCAGGGCGTAGTTGCAGGCCATGGCGAAAGCCACGTAATTCGCCACGTTGGCGGGGCTCAGGCTCCTGCCCACGAAATCCACGCAGTGGCTACAGATGGCCCCCAGCTGCAGGTACGACGCGGCGGCGTACACGCTCTTGACGTTGCCCTCCACGATTTCCACCGGCCTCGAGTACATCGCTCCGATGACGTCCTCGAGCGCCTGGCTGTTTATGAGCGGGTCGTCGACGCTCAGCGAGACGACTTGCCGACGAGAGTCCTCCCACTCGCCGTCGAAGAGGGCGCGGAAAAAGGGGCTCCGCCGGAGTACCAGTCGGTGAAGGGAGTGCCGCTTGTCTCCCAGCTCGACCTGGACGTCCGAGAAACAGTGCTCTTGCCAGGCCGGTCCCCGCAGAATGTCTCTCACGTCGTCCAGCGGAAGTTCGTCGGTCAAGGATGGGTCCTCGGCTTTGGATCCCGGTTCCACTGTTCTTAATTCCATGTCGGTTGCCCTTCAGGGAAGATTGACGTCCAGAAATGCCGCTGCAGCAGAGATAGGGTGCCTCGCCCCACTGTCGCGGCAGCAATTGGTTGTCGATGGCAATGGAGTAGTCCACCAGAATCGGCACGTCCTTTCCCTGTGGACAACACTCAAGAAGTGAGCAAGGCAGTACGTTAGGCCGGTGAGGGCATCCATGCCTGGTTCTATCTAGATGTTGCCATTCAATGGCGAGGCGTGGCGTTGCCGCTGCGTTGAAAATCATTTTGTCATTCTTTTCATTACATGCACCCTTGAACACATTCGATTTCAATGCTGTCCCAAGCGCGACAAATGGGACTCGATGGAAGATGACAAAACGCCTTTCTTGCTTCAACGATAGCAGGCTTGGTTTTTACGTTTACGTTTCTACTTTTGTGTTTTTACACGTAAAAACGCAAATTTGCCATAGGGAGTATTATTACGGCTATTTTTACGTTTTTACGGCTCCCTGAGGCACCCACGATGAAAGTTGCGTACAATGATCAGTCCCCCGCCATCTCCAGCACCCGCAACACAATGTCCACCTCGCCTTTGGCAAGGGCTATAATGGCGTTTAACAAAAACTCCTTTTGCGCCCCTTCCAGGGCGTCTGGCTGCCACTCTCTGGACTCCATATGTCTGTATGTACTGGCCTTATGTAGTTTTTACGTTGTATTTACGTACTTTTACACATTTTTACGGGTAAAAACGTTAAACTATTTTTGTGCATAAAAACGCAATACGATCAGTTTTTGCGGCGTAAAAACCAAGCCTGAACGATAGCCGCACACGAGCACGAGCACAGAAGAGCTGCTTTCTCCCGTATTTCAAATACCGCGCAATCGTTACTATCTGTACATCATCTGGTGCGAAGTACGGTTTGCCACGCCCCTTTTATCATTTCCACGAAAATTAGGCACATCACTGGCACAGCGCTCTCTGCCTCTTCACGATGCACTGTGCGCAGAAACTCTTTGAGCGAACGCTGTTCGCTTCGACCCCTGTCCATTGCTGCCCGCCGCCATAGGTCAATGGGCAAGGGCAATATCAGACATTTATCGAGATGGGAATGCAGCCACTGTCTTTGCTCGAGGTGATACTCAAGGCTGAACATTACGTACCGACAAAGGGAGTCGGCTGCTTGGAATCTGTCGTCGCTCATCTCCTTCTCTCACTCGACAGCATGCCGTCCCTTTGACTGTGGCAGACCGTGTACTGAGTCAATGACCCCAACGTGGCGCACAAATGGACTGCTTCATTAAGCACTTGATTCAATCTGCTAGCCGAAAATGATCCATCGGAGGTAAAAAGCGCCGGGCCTCGACTGTTCCCCTACATGCTTTGTTTCCAAGGGGAGCAGTCACCAGGTCCTTATTCACCAAGACCTCTCCTCATGCACCCGTGGCATTCTCGCGCGTCCTCCCAGCCCCATTTGCCGGAGCTGCGTCCAGAACCAAGAGCGCCATTTCCCCGGCGAGACCTTCCGGAGGCCTCTCCCCTTGCGCCTCAACTCCGATCTGTTTCAGTCTCGTCGCCGATCCCTCTGACGCCTTGAGGCGCGTCAAATCCCGCTGGCCGCGACGACGAGACGAGAAGAACCAGGCAAACGTAGATGGTTTCACCTGTGAGCGACAATCATGGCGTAGAACGTGCCGGCGCCACCCAGCTTTGCTCCCGGGGGTCCTATGGAGCGGCGGGAAGAGGCGGGAGGTGACACCAGGGACGTGGTGACGGCGCTGTCGTCTTTGGCCGGGGAGCTGCATGCTTTGAGGCAGGAGCAGGCCAGCCGTCTTGGAAGGTGGGGGCGGCGAAGTGGGCTGGATATGCGAGGAAACTCTGAAACCTGGTGTCGATGGGTCAAGAAATTTTGGAGTTTGTTGAATTTTCGGTACAAACAGGACGGGGGAAGCAGCAAGCGCTTTTTCCGGCTTAATGGTGAATGGAGTGCATGTAAAACAAACAAAAATTGAAGGTTACACTGCCCGGAGCTAGGAATTGCAGGCTTCCTGGCCCAAAGCATCGTTCTTCCTTTCACCGCTATTCCACGAACGCTAAGCCAGTACATGATACGCGACAAATTGAAGGCAAGTTTTGGTACTCACTGTGGTTCTTCATGAATCCAGTTCATGTGTTCATGAGAACTGGAGAATTGAAAAATCGTTACAAAACCATTTCCTTTGAGATTTGAATCCCATTACCCAGATGAATTCCATAGAAAGCTTGCACGAAATCTGGATTAATCGGCTGCATACACCGAAGAACGCGCAATTCCTTGACGTCAAGAAGATCGCCATACGCACAATGTCGCACACAAGCCTGGCTGATTTATCTTCATGTGTAATCAGGCTTGAACGGAGGATACTGAAGCTTGAGATCCATATAAAGGAGTGTCTGGGTGAGCGCGTCAAAGTGGCGTCTATGGCGCGCATGTAACCCCCTCAAATACTGAATTGCCATCT